GTCTTTCATTCCAATAAGAAAACATTTCTGAAATCTGCATCTGAAGTGGCATTTAGATGTATTTACACAGTTTAATGTAGCTCAGAGGGGACATGGATGCATTTAACCTGCACGTACAAATGCATTAATAATTCTTTGTTTTAAACATAGAACATTGAATACTGATATTTGAAATGATTTAAAACATGAAAAAAAAATAGTCGAAATGTTACATTAAAACCACCAGTAGGTAGCAGCAAGTAGGCTAACTGTTAATGAGTGAATCATTGAGATTCAACCGTGTTTGTTTTTTGTTGTTTTTTTAAATAAAAATAAATAATAAAAAGAAGATAAATATAGATAAAGTAGAATTAAAATAGAATAGAAAGTGTTAGAGTTAGAGGGTCAAATAAAGGTGGAACAGATGTGTTTTTAGTCGTTTCTTGAAGATGGTTAAGGACTCAGCTGCTCGGATTGATTTGGGCAGGTCATTCCACCAGGAGGGAACAGTTAAAGAAAAAGTATATATTTATATACTTTTTGTGTTCAGTTTTAACTGTTTCTTCCAATTTGTAGCTTTGGAATAAGAATAAGAATGGTAAGAATAGGAAGCACTTCATCAGGTACTTAGTGTCTTTCATTCCAATAAGAAAACATTTCTGAAATCTGCATCTGAAGTGGCATTTAGATGTATTTACACAGTTTAATGTAGCTCAGAGGGGACATGGATGCATTTAACCTGCACGTACAAATGCATTAATAATTCTTTGTTTTAAACATAGAACATTGAATACTGATATTTGAAATGATTTAAAACATGAAAAAAAAATAGTCGAAATGTTACATTAAAACCACCAGTAGGTAGCAGCAAGTAGGCTAACTGTTAATGAGTGAATCATTGAGATTCAACCGATTCATTCAAATGGCTGATTCATTCAGGAACAAAGCATTACTGTGTTAATGACTGATTCACTGAATCATTTATTCAACCAATTAGTTCAAAAAGCTGATTCATTCAATAAGTAAACACCGTCCATTGCTCAGAGACGCAACACAATGCTGTGATCTTTGTTTGGAACTATTTTCGTTGGCCAAATTGAGTAAAAACAGGCAATATTGTGTCTAAAATGTAAGTCACTTAATGCTAACTTAAATTTGTATAAAATTATTATTACATTTATTATCATGCTGATATCTGGAGAAAAAAACGGCACTCTTTGTGTGCTATAGATTAACTATATTAAATTTTATAAATATAAAAAAAAAACATAGAGGCATTTTTGCCATCTACAAGTCAGAATGCCTTAAATTTGAAATTTTAATAGACTAATAAATCACGTGCGTGCACTCTCTGTGTGTGATTTGGTGAAGGTGATATACAGTAATCGATAATGCCAGATCGCACGTCATTACAACAACACTTACCATATTATCGCAGATGAAATACTGTATATCGCACACACCAGCCTCGACTTGAGTGGAAAATGAAATCATCCGCGGTTGTGCGCGCACTTGTTTGCACATGAGCAAAGGTGTTTTTTCGGAGTCTAACTTGCAGATGCCAGACCACTGATTCATCAAACCTGCTTTCTTGCAGTCTGTGTTGTTCTTCTTTATTTTGTAGCAAGTAGCGAATATGCTTCGGGGAAATATATCGGAGTAAAAGTATACATTTTAATTAGGAAATGTAGTGGAGTAAAAGTGAAAGTTGACAGAAATAAAAAAAAACGCAAGTAAAGTACTCCCAAAAAATACTTAAGTACTGTAACGAAGTATTATTACTTTGTTACATTAAATCAATGTAAATAACTAACAATGTTGTGTGGTGTTAGCACAATAATTAAAAAAAAAAAGTTTTATGATGCATTTCTATTCTGTGTTTCTATCCTCCCCCCAATTTCCCTCTCTCGCTATCTTTCTCCGTCTTTCTCAAGGACAAAACTAGTGCCAGCTGAAAGTGGAGGGAGTTTGTTTGCTGGTGGGCCTCATATGAGTCTGGCAGTGTATGACAGGCACTGTGCGAGACAACACTGTCCTACTGTTTTTAAGAAAACTGTCTTTTGCTGTCCCTGACAGGATCTCCGCTTGGCATCCAAGCACATGCCAATCATGACCACATATCTGCAACTCTCTGAAATGACTCTATTCTTTGTTACTTTTTTTTTCTGCCATACTGTTCAGACTATTCCAGTTATTAATGTCATATTTATTCCATGTGAATCTTCAGTAGAATCTGTCCATCTGATCTTATTGTTGTACATATAAAAAAGGACACATTAGTGTGTTTGAAGAGACAAATAGAATGTATAGCAAATATGTGTGTGTGTGTGTGTGTGTATAGGTATAGGTACCGAAACCCAGTATTAAATGGGCCTGGGCTAAATTATTTAAGACCGGTGTATCGATAAGCTCTGATGTTAAAGGTTCTGCCGTCGGTCCTGGAGAAAATAAGAAAATACACATACATTTATTATTGCTATAACATTATCTTGACATTATCTTGCAAATTCTATCACGCCAGAGTCGCCAGCTGTTTCTATATGGTATAATATTAGAACATTTTTCTATGATGCATTTTGCTATTCACAATTCAGAAGACAGATATCACGCTCACGCGGGGGAGCTACAGAGCGCACAAATGAAAGCCCTGTTTAATTGTGATGACAGAGGAGAGAACTAAATATTCAAATGTCTGCTTGCACTTTAGGCCTGAGGCTGTGTGATATTAAGCCAATTTTATTGTTGATTTCAATGTTGGCTTTCAAGGCTCATAAAAAAGAAGATATGAGGTAAAACTATTAAAAACTAGCCGCGTTTTGTCTAGTGCAACTTCTTTCCCTTCACAGTGGCGCATGTTTGTTCCTCCCTAAAATCCAAACTTAACGTCAGGATCAGCGCAATCGTGATTGTTATAAAATGCAGTCTTTACTGTTGCTAAATTGCGGGAACATTTTGATAAAATTTTGAAAGCACAGTCTGCACAAGAAACACTGTTTCCCAGGCTGAATTATGTGTGCGCTCCAAAGCGGGCGATAAGATTACACTTTGGGCTAGAGTGTGCGTCCAAACAATTAAATAAACACAAAAATATGTCAAAATGGCCGGCTTGGAGAGTATTCACTTAGTCTTTAGTTTATGAACAGCTGCGAGAAAATTCGATGTGTGTCAATATATATGCAGTCACCTGGGCCATCAATGTTAATCAAACAATAAAATGCAAAGAGAAAATCACTCACAGCTCTTAATCTGAATAACGTTAGCTGTTAATAAGCATTAATCTATCAAATTATACAGTGAAAACTTTGCAGTGTTATTGTACATTTGGTTATTTTATAAGATTTTTTTTAGGCTATAATACTTACCTGAACAAAAACTTTTAGTAGACCGTAATGATTTTTTTAAATTATATCTTGTCCTATATCTTATCTTATAACAACTCAATACTGTGCAATACAATACTGTATTTTATCTTATATAAACACCAAAAATGCCTGCACAGTGGAGTATTTACAAATTTATGTTTTATATTAATTTATTTTACACGTGTGTGTATGTAAAATAATTATTTAATGAAATTAATATATATATATATGTGTGTGTGTGTGTGTGTGTGTGTGTGTG